TATACAATGATATAATATCATTGGATTCAAATTTAATTCCATCCATTACAGTAACCCACTTGTAACCTACTGTACAGCAGAGCGACATACACGACTTACCCGCTTTTTTTCATAAATGTCAATACAATCTTATTAGATGGGTAAAAAAGTTTGAAAATTGGATACAAGATTTTCCATATGTTTATATATTAGTAGTTGGAAAATATTAAAAATACATACACGTTTTTTTTTTTTATAATAGTTTAAAGTCAACATTTATTAGGTACTTAAATTGAAAATTTACAAATTATTCGGTTGTAAAAAAATGTATAATACGTTCAAATGATATAGATAAGGAATGAAAATTTAAAACAATGTCTCACGTAAGTAGTTAATTCTATAATACAAAAAAATCTAAGAATTATACGAATACAGTTTTTCTATATGGTTATCTTATGTTCAAATTTGGATGAAATTACACATTAATTAACCAAGAATAATAATTTTAGTTATATTGTTGTAATTTAAAAATATTTTTCGTGAGTACTTGAAATTTCTAGAGCAACGTTATAGGTTTGTTGTAATAGTTAATGTCGTTAATGACCTTATACTAATACTTTATACTTTATAGTATATTGTATATAGGTACTATGAATGATTAGTGTTTGAACATTTTATGAAATTTAAAATCGTGATACATGTCATGAAATATTTCAATATTATAATCATTTTTTTTTTTTTAAATAAGTTTTATTTTCATGAATAATTTCCAAAGCCCACCTTCACAATTAAAATTTTTATAATATTAGGGGAAACAATTAGTAATTACTCATTACCTAGTTATGGTTTCAATTGGTTAGATTGTTTATAAATAATCATCATTAATAGGTATTTGTATAAGAAAAAATTTCAATGTTTCACCTTTTTGTGGAATATTTCACAACATTATGAAATATTTCACACTTCAAACACTATGAATGACTGAATTAATTGAGTGCATATAATAAATATTATTTGGAATATACTTTATAGGTATCTATATATATAATTTTTTTTTTTGAAATAATAATAATACAATTAATTTGGTATAAAATATTTTAGACTAATAAATCATCTTCACTGAGAATCGTTTTTCGTATACAATGATATTCTATCTTTGAATTCAAATTTAATACTAWTCATTACAGTAACTCACTTGTAATAACCTACTGTACAGTAGTCAGTAGATCGACATCCACTTACCCTCTTTTTTACTGTGGTACTTTAAAATATGTGTAATATACTAGATTTATTTTCTTAACAAGAATAATAATTCATATATGCGTTAAAAAAAGTTATTATTTGCAGATGAGTACATGTGAAAATATGGCCAGTCACTGATAATTTTTTTTTTTTTTTTACTTCTTTATAAATTATTACCTATACAAAAAGAGTTAAAAGTATGATGTAGAACATAATGTTTTAACAATTAGATTCAAACGCTTCTTTTTTAATATTCTAAATAGTTTTCGAGCTGCTGATTTGCATATAGAAATTCAAAGTAGGTATAAAATACATTGTACAGATGAAAAAAATTCATGAATTATACACTATGTAACATTATTGTTACACAAGTACCATAGATAATAGGACATTATGATTAATTATATTTGTGACAAAATAAGAATAAATACCTTGGTACATATTATAACTGACAATACAATAAGTTTATTAAAATTATAATATTACCATGCGTGTTATATATGCGATATGTATAATTGTGAAAGACTTTCCGTTTATAGAAACTTTTAATAATTGTCATTTCGCAGTTGTTAGTTACCAGTTACCACAAAATATATAATATTAATCAAATTACCCACAACGTCCGACAGACGTCGTATTTAATAACGCGTAGAGAAATTAAATATCACGCCTTTCATATTGTATTATAAATTTATACCTATGTACTACAATAAGATAAATATATTTGAATAAYACCGTTAGCCAACTATGAAAATCAATTGTTAGATAATTACATTAAATATTTCATTATTTATWTCCTCTTAAATTATAACAAAAGTAAGTAGGTGTATTGTTTATTTCATATGGTATTTTCTGAGAATTTCGATGTTTAATATAATATAAATTGAATACATGACCAGTAGTAGATTAGGTAGTCATATATTTGTGTCTTGTAAGCATTTTGATTTCAGACGAATGCAGTGAAAAAAAATGATTCAAGTGATAATTTGCAAAATATTGGTGCACTACTCTAGTTATCAACATTTTAAACGCTTATAATTTATAACTAATTGATTTATTGGTTTAGTATAGGTTTTTAAAAACCAACGTGAGAGCAAACATATTTGTTTTTAAGTTGTCGATTTGGTATGTTCTCAAATTGTATGTATAAAAAATACAAATGTTCAAAAATATAAATTTGTCGAGAAAAAGACTGTTTCGTCTTTCTTAGTAAAAGAATCACTTCGTACATACTATTATGTTATACAACGCATACTTTAAATTATCATACTTGAGTATTGTGTAACGGTAGTTCCATTAAAAACCCAGCAGTTTTATCGGCGACGTCCAATGCGACTGAACCGATTTCTCATCGTCTTGGGCGACGGCTATAGGTATATAGGTATATTCCGCTGGCAACAATGGTTACACACGCTTACAAACGTTTACAAATGAACACGTTTACACGAACCGGGAACCGAGTATCATGTTATTTCTTGCCCGTCTACATAATATTATAATATTATAATATAATAATGTGCACTGCGTTGCGCAACCGTGCACGGCTAATGAGATACGCTTTCGTTGTCCGTAGTGTTCACCGTGTGTTAGAGGTTACAGGTAGAAGTGGGCGGTACATGGTATCATTATAATAATATAGGCATAACATTGCGGTCGGGCTGCAAAAATGGCCTTTCAACTCGGCAAATAATCCAACCGAAGAAGATGGAATCAACCGCGGCGCGGCGATGCGTGTTTTGCACTGTGTTCGATTATTATAAAATTGTTATTATACAACTATATAGATATGTACTCAAGTGACCAAGGTATTATATACCCAGGTACCTACCTGCGCGACGAGGTTCTACTTTGTAAATCGGCTGCATAAAATATAAAAATATAATATTTTAATGTATAGCTGGTGTCAACGATATAACGTGCGCAATAAAATATCGCGATGATTACAGCGAGTCGAATCGTTTCGACGCATTTACAATAAAATCCATTTGTTCGAGTCGGTAGAAAGTCATATTGCCATTATCTACGTCTCTTAATCTCTATTATATTACTTCGGGAGTTTACAGTTTGCACCGCGAATAGTTATAAGTATTTAAAGCTAATTATTTAAAGCTAATTGTGGAATAGATAATAGTGGACCAACATTTGGGTAACAGCGTACCTACCATACTTAACTCCACCGATCAAAACTATAAATACGTACCTAACCCATAAACTGCTATTCTTAAATTTGTATTTCATGTACCGAAACACTCGGAAAAATATTCCGTTTCAGAAATTAAATTAAAACTGTACCTATATCGTTTTTAAAAAATAAAAAGAATAAAAAAATATGTCATTTTTTTAACCGTTGTTTTGTAACAACTTAAAACCATATTGTAACAAAAATATTTTCTAAAACATTGATAATTTTTGAAATAATGATAATAGTTCATAATAAAAGAACCCCCACTGTATAAATTTTATATTTATCATTGTTCATTATTTTATATTGATCTATTATATGTGCGATTTTATATATTATGAAAAAAATATTAATATGCTTACTTTCAATATGCATTTACTGATTTTAGTAAAATACAGAACAAATTGTGATCTAATGTAGCATGAACAACTAATCATTATATTTTTACTTAAATKTATTTAAATTATTTTCGTACTGTGTTAAAATTCATACTTAYGAGTTAATGAATTAAAATTTATAGATTAAATCAACTTAATACGAATATCAGTTTGAATTAATGATATGATGATTTCTATTTATAAGAACACGTTTCAAGTTTGAAATTAAGACTACTTTATTGTATATTTTAATTGATAATTAGAGTTGAACAACGAATTTTGAATTTAATCAATGTTTAAAGACATGTTTAATAGATACCTACAGTTTGTTTTTAAAACCTTAGGTTGTATTAATTATTTTACTTAAATTCACTGTTGACTTAAAGAAAATAAACAATATTTTATTTCATCATTCAATATAGCAATGTAGCATATACATTATACATTATACATATTATATCGTTGTATACAAATCTATTATCAATATTATTTGATAAGGTGGTGCACAATCTTACTTTAAAATTTAACAATTACAGTTGAGGTTCCCAGCATAACGTTTCAAAATAATTTAATCCAAACAATTTTCATATTTTAAAAATAAATTATTTAAATAAATGTTTTTTTTWAAATTAGATTTAAAAATAAGCTATTTTTAATTTTCAGTATAAAAAAATTTTAATATTGATTAAAAAAAAGTTATTTTATTTGTCATGGCAATCTATTACAGTATTATAGTTAAAAAATCACTGTATTTCGAGAAATTTGAATTTACATGTTAGAACGCAAGATATGTACCAATTATAGTAATATAATATCTAGTATTCTAGTTAGAAGTTTATTTTATATCATTTTATTATTAGGTACACTTATGTAAATCTAAAAAACAAAAATTATAATAATGTTGTGGTTCTTGTACGATAGAGCTTTTTTGGGAGGTATTCATTTGAATAATTTTTACGTTAATTTATTAACTGTAATAACGCATAAATAAAAGAAAAGAAATAAAATAAAAATAAAAATATAATAATATAACTAAAATAAATAAAATACCTAAGTTAGTACAACTATTAAATATAACTAAGGCTCCTGCCAATAGTAATATTAATTAATGGATGATATTAGAAATAAAAGGATGTTTGGTTGATTTATTAAGTTACACTAAAGGATCTGTATTGTTCTCTACTCTTATAAGAGCTGGAGAATAAGCTACCAGATATAAATATTAAAATTGCGCTATTACCTTCCTCCTGATCGTCGGAGGATTCTCGTCGTTCTCGAGGTCGTGATTCGTGAACGATCAAGTACACCGTAATAATAAAATATTAATTATTAAATTATAAAAATTTAATAAATACAATATAATATATAAAATTATATAAATATATATACGCATGCACCTTACCTTATTCGCAGCTGTATTTGAATGCGCAGTTGACGTAATAAGATAAATAAAGGTTTTTTTTTATTAAACACTCAGACTAAAGAAAAACAACACTGTTAAATTTCGATTWAAATTATTWATTTTATTGGATAAATAAGCAATATACAATTATGATATGTGAGCATATCATTACATAACTTAACCTTTTTTTTTGTCGCAGATGACTGGAACCGTGTCTTTTGGATTTCTCGCCTTAGCGCTGACGGTGACGGGCTGCTTGGCTGCTATCAAAGAGGTGAAAACCAACAACCCCGTTACACAGAAGCCTGGTCGTTTCCTCAGCCTACCTGTTGCTCAGAAATGTAGTCAAAGTAAGTCGGCCACGTTAAATAGTAATGTTACACAATATTAACATTATAAACAAACACTTGGAAGTGTAACATTCGCGCTGGATTATATATAAACATGCAATGATATAAATAAGTTATACACTGATGTCTGACCTGGACGCAGGTTAAATGGAAAACCACGTATTACTGCCATACATTGATTAGTTGTAAGAGAGAGCATTATAAGACACATTATTTCATCATTCAATAGCAGAATATAACCAGTGGTATTTAAAAATCGTTCAAATGTAATGTTAAAAAAAATATTTATACATGTTATTAATTGTTTAATTTAATTCATTATTTATTTTTGAAATTTTTTACTTATTTATTAAATGTTACAAAAATATAATATCTCGTACCTAACATGGTATAGTATGATATGGTGTTCGAAATGTTTATTTTATTTCATTTATCAAAAGACAAAATTAAGAATAAGACTAAATTAAATTAATTATAATATACATATATTTAATATTTAGTCTATGACTATAAAAAATATTCAAACATATTACTTTAACTCGGTGTTGTTCAGACTATTTGTACCTTTCCGTATATATTATTTCAGATCTATCGCAAGTTCATAAATATTATGAAAACATTTTATTTAGGYCGTTTAAAAACTCATTCACAAAAGTCTCTGTTATATTAACTCCTCCTCTTTTGGCCGGCTGTTGTTCTTTTAAACTTRCGAGGGCGGGGTTGGGGTTTGGCCACAGCGGTCAATTTCTCGGCCTCAATTGCATAGACTGACTCGGCCAGATCTGCCGACCGACGGCGATTGTGATAGCTGACTCTACTTTGGCTTTGGTAGCGTGTCCGCGAACACATCGACCGCCTCCAGTCTCAAACCTGCGGTGGTCGGCTTGGTCGTGCCTGACGTCCAGCGGCCGTCGACAATAACGCTCCCGCGTCGCCGTCAACCACGACCTACCACGGCGGCTGATCGGTGTCACCGCAGCCGCAATCGGTCTAYTCCGCCTTACAACGGCCTTTTATCCCCCTGTAGTCGTCCGCTGCTGTCGATTTGCCCAATTTTTGCAGTCCAATATTGTTCGACGTCATCGTCACCGTTGTCGTTGACGTGCGCAGACAGCAGCGCGACTTCAGAGGACGACGCAGTCGAATCGTTGTTTGTTTGCGTTACTGTAGTCGTCGAATAATGACTGTGATGATGTCTTTTCTACAACGTTACCCATGTCGCGAACGGCTCCGGACAAGTTACGTTGAAATATTTTCTGCGCTACAAACGGCGACCGTGCATATTCGTTACAATAGCTATCGAGAAAGGATATTTATGTAATGAACACAGACAAAATATGTAAACATTCGTGTAGGGGCATGTGGCTATTTTCATCGGAATATTTATAAAATATATATATATATATATATAACTGCATAGATTTGAAAATTTTCCAACTGGAGATTATACGACGTTTGTAAAATGTTTACTCAAAATTGCCTTATTATACAAGTATCCACAAGAGAACGTTCTTCGTAAACCTATAGGTGATTTAGTTACGTTTGGAATATTTTATAACAATTATTTTATGACATATTATCTACTGTGAATGATTTCGATGACGATTAATTATTTAGAATAATTGTTTTTAATGGATTGCATTTTTCCTGTTTATTTTTCTARTGTTTCATTGTACCAACATGTTACTAGCAACTATGCTGGGTTAGGTCATGTTAAATAAACAAATGATAATAACTATCACCATCGTTGATAACAKTTTTTTAAGTTTATCTAGAATAAGACCCAGTGGCGTAGTCAGGAGGAGGGCTGAGGGGGCTGCAGAACCCTTCGCCTCCCGAAATGAGGAAAAATTAAAAAAATTATTTTCATTGCCTACGAAAGTCGCTAAAAATTCTTAAATTGTTTTTTAAGATATAAAAAGAAAATTCAATGCTATTTTTATTATTTTTTTTCTACTTGTTAAACTTATGGAAGAACTTAGGTAAACAACCATCGATGTGTAAAAATTGATCCCGCCTTCCCCAAGAAAAATCCTGGCTACGCTTCTGATGCGACTAGTATAATATAATATTTTGTTATCCATACGCAATTTTGTTTATTTGTAGTGAAAAAACAGATTTCTGCAATCACGTGACATAATTGTTTATTTGTTTCTAGGGCCGAAAGAATTTACGTACAAAGGACGAAATTATTTCTACAGTGGCCACACGCAACAATACAAAACATCCAAAGTCGATTGGTTGGAAGCAAGAAATATCTGCCGAGAATACTGCATGGATCTTGTATCAATTGAAACTCAAGAAGAAAACAATCTCATTTTCCGACTGATTCAACAAAGTGAGTGTCTATTTTTAATAATATTAATTATTATCTACAATACAAGGAAAACAATGATTGTTTATTGTTATTATTATTATTATTATCAGAGTGCACAAACCACACTACAACTTTATAATTCATAATTATAATTTTACACTTAGCATGGATTATAGATAAATTTGATGAAATGGTAGGTAATAGTCTATTTTTTTTTTCTATTAAGYAATAGGCCTTACTTATTTAGTTCATATATTTTTTCAACTCAAGTAGCTATGAATTAATTTTATGTTTTGTGAACATATTGAGTTACTTTTTTTTATATATAACACATTTGGTATTCGATACTTTGATAAGTAAGATATATCAAAATTTTGAATAAAGAATAAAAATACATAATATTATGTGTTATGATTGTGAAACGTATTTATTTTTTTACAAGAGCTGATTAATGAACATCAACATTTAAGACAAGGGCGTTACTTTCATAACATATTCTCACTGGTTGACTCCAACTGTATATCTGAAATTATTGTTTTGTACATGTATTTTTTGCTTTCTATTACAAAAACCTAACCTATATTATGATCATTGTTTTACAACAAGCTACAGCTTGATCGGAATTTTGTTTCAAGCAGATCTAGCCCGGTCTGGCTCAAAATGGTTAAAAMATAATTATTAATATATTACTATATATGACGAGTATACTATATTTGTTCATCTATTTAACAACCTGCTGCAATTTCGTGAGAACGATTCAGCACGTTACAACTAACCAGTGTGTAATATAATTCACTAGCAAGTTTTAATAAAAGAAAATTTTTATTTTTTGTGTTTAATTCAGTTGGTGTGTATATAGGTAGGTTAATATTGTTAAATTTTTTAAAGTTATTCAACGACCTTCACAATAGGTTACTGAAAGGTATTCAATATAATAAAGGACTCAATAAAAGAGTAACAATGGGTAGGTACCTACTAATAAGTAATATTACGTAACAACAAATGATGATTTTATAGTTAGATACGCTTATGTTTATTATATATTTATAATATTTTTGACTGACGGAAAAAATAAGAGTGAGGTACCTACCAATGTTTTATARTAGTGGCTTAATGTGTAAATAAATTAAACATAATTTAGTTTGTTTATGTACTTAATTAAATTCGCAATTTGTAGAACTATTATTCCTCGCGGTGTTGTTGCAAATAAAACCACCACAAAATAGTTATTTMATTTTACTAGTATAAAGATGTTGTGTTAGTATCAAATATATATCTATTAGCTATTACTGTCTAAACAGTTTCACTCATATACAATATCATATTTCATGCACGTGCTTCGTTTATGAACACATTATAATGTGAAATTTTTCTTACGTTCAACTAACAGTTGTGTTTCGAATAACATGCCAAAATATTTTTAAAAACATTTAACCCACTACATTTAGTACGTTTCTCCTTATTCTTTTATCCAATATGTAAGTGTATTATTTAAACGTTACTCAATTGAAAATTTAATTTGGTTGACACTTACCTAACCAAAGATGTAATTTTTCATGCTTTTTTCATATGGAATCAAGAACTGGAGAAGAAATCGCTATTGCATAGCTTCTCCTCCGTACCCCATCGTTCATTGTTGTATAAAACAAATATTACCTACATTGTAAATATACAACAAGAGTACTACACACTAAAGAGTGAAGTTTGAAATGGTTTACWATTAAGGTGATGGCTTGATGATTTTTCATGTTTTATAAGTACCTAAAAACATAACAATAATTGATATTATTGTTATTTATTAATATTCATTATTCTTCAAACATTTTATAAATCTTTCAAAAGGCTAACAAGAAAAATTTTAAATCAATGAAAAATTGAAAACCTCACAAAGAAAAACTTTATAAAATAGATAATAATAAATAATGTTATTTTTCAATATTATGCATAAATTCATAATATATATATATAAATAAAGTGTGTATAATATTATACAAGATATAATTATTAATTGATGATACGGTGGGCGTCACTATCAATTAAATTAATTGTGTTTTTCATAATCCGATGCACATGTTCTGGTTATTTATTCTTGGCGTTTTATTAAAAACAAATTAAAAAAAATGTAAATTAACATCAACCAATAATGTAGGTACAACATATAAATTATTGATTTATATAATATTAAACTTAAATAGTAAATACTTTATGCGTTTCCAATATACGAGTATATCTAATGATAATTTGGTTAGTATCTAATCATATTTCTATTTATCCATAAATTATGAAAATATAAAAATATACGTGCATGTTATGCTTTAAAAGTTACATTAGCACGTTAGGTACAAAACTTGAAGATAAGTGATGATAATAATATGTTGTATAAAATCATAATATTATTTAAAATTTGATCAATAATATATTTTGTTTTGTATAGGTATATTATGTTGTTTTAGAAGATTGATAATCGTATAAAGGTCTATTTTTATTTTTTTGGGTGTGAGGTTGATTCTGGATAAGTAAGAATAAAAAAAAGAATAAGTCTGGTGCTTATTATAATAAATTACGTCCTATCACTGGATAACATCCACTGTCTTTATTGTGTCCTGATTATATGTCAACTAATTTATTATATTATTAGAAGAAAAACAATTTTAAATTCTGTTGAATTCTGGTTACATACTGCCCATTGTTATAATGTGTTATATTTTGTATCAATAAGTCTACACTTCTGTTATAAATTATATGTACTAAGCTAATGTAAATTAAAACGGTTCGCTGTTCAGGCTTTTATTTCATTCCTCTGTAAAGGTATATGGACAATATATTTGAAAGGTACATACATACATTGTAATTGTTTATAGTTTCTTCTTGAAAACTGTAGTTTGACGCAAAATAAATTTGGATTTAATATTGAAACTAACTTACATTTTAACAATGTGATTTATATAATTATTCAGAACTATTTAAAAATATCGTTTACTCCTAAACGAGTGAGAAAAATACAGAAAGGGCCACTTTAAAGTTAATACATATTATGTATGATTAAAATCTGTCCTTGGTTTGGATGCAAAAATACAAAGTGAATAGTGATGACTATATGTCCATATGTGGATACAATATACATACAATTAGGTGTAAATCATATGATAAAACTGATAAAGTTATTTATAAAATATAATAATTGACTAACTGTTATAGGTAATCAACCACCAATCAGTTATTATTAGCAATTGTCTTCGTAATATTTAACATTGGGTGGTAAATGCCCAATAGTTTATTTTTGCTAACTGTAGACCAGCATTTATAACTACATTAAATCAGGCTATGATAATAAAAATAATAATAATAATAATAACGTTACAATACGAAGCAGATGTTTATAGTTTATATATTATAATATACCATACCTATTCCGGTATACGTTTTATCATAATATATATATATATGCCAGGTTGCATAAAAAATCGATTAATTCAATGTAGTAAAGTGGTCACTAAATTAAGTATAGGGGAGGACCATTAGTTCATATTATTATGTCACATGGTCTTAATTCATTGAATGATTGTTTATGCTACCTAGGCACCCAAGAACGCAGCACTTTACCTATAATATAATTTTATTATTCGATTTTTCGCAGACGACGCTCCGTACATATGGACCAGTGGACGGTTATGTGATTTTAAGGGCTGCGAGAACCGGTCGGACCTTGAACCTAAGTCTGTGAACGGATGGTTCTGGTCTGCTACCCGTGGAAAGATACCGGCTACTAACCAGACACCAGTTGGCTGGACGTACAGCCCGTGGAGCAAGAGTGGCCACAAGAAAACACCACAACCGGATAATGCYGAGTTCGACATCAATGGTACAGTGGAGTCATGCCTGAGTGTGCTCAACAACGTATACGGCGACGGCATAGCGTGGCACGACATCGGTTGCTATCATGAGAAACCGTTTGTATGCGAGGACAGCGACGAGCTACTTAGCTACGTGGCCGCCACCAACCCTGGACTCCAGCTCTAAACAACGCCATCACCGCCTTCACMAAAATCACAACCCTCCCATGTGATTATCCCCTACCACCTCCTCTTACTTTTGAGATAAGTGAAAAACGTCCCACATYAAAATATAYTATAGCTTAATATATGCACATCCAGTGMAGATTGTACTTTTTACTCATTGACCGGGCCCTTAGAATTAAAATTGCGGTTTTTTTTWAAAAATACTATAAGTATGAACAGACATCCATAAAACRACCGATTAAATATGATTGTGTCTCGAATCATACAAGTMTCCACCAATGCAGGACATTAAAATTTCTTAGAACTTATTCGTTTCTGAAGTTAAAATCGTAGAGGACGTGTGACTTATCTCTTACTCCAGCCCTCATTCCATAATCGTTGTTCATCTTCATCATTCCCAAATAATACTATATTTATATTATATTATACATAAATATATATTTTAAGTTAATTATTTTTTTTTATCTTAAATGTTTTAATTGATAAAATTCGGTTCATTAAATTTAGCCGTGACCGCAATTGTCATAACTTATCGTTCGTTTTGATATATAACTACTGTTTTCGTATAAATAAACGTTCGGATGATACACATCGTATTAATTGCTTTCCTTCCGTGTCCTAACATCCAAGTTCACGTTAAAACGGATTAATAATATCGGATTAATATACTCTACTGTCTCTTGATATTAATATCATTATTATAGTGAAACTACTATATGCTTGGTAGCATTATGTTGGATTTATGGGCTCAGCAATCGAGACCAAAAGTGTTGAGGGCGTGGAAAATTTTCGGAGTCATTGAAGTTTGAACTGGACGAATTGACCGGCTGGCGAAAAATGTCACTGTCTGTTTACTTCAATCTAACTTAATGCATAAAAAAAACCGGGCAATGTAGATGCAGTCTGTTTGGACCCTAAAGTTTTTATGGTAATAAATAATAATCAATTTGTTTTATCTTTGTATAGTATATACATGGCGCTTCTATAGCTTCGGTCGGACCCGGCATGCAAGGAGACCAAACGACAGGATTATTCTAGTATAGTCGTTATATACTATATAATATAGTATAGGTCGTTTCCCAGACGTTTCATTATCGCGTACCATTGTAATACGTCTTATAACTAGAACTATTTTTATCAACAATGTTCGAATATTACTTCTAAATACACTATATTATTTTTTACTGCATAAACCAAATTAGTACTTATTACCAGCTCCAAACTATCGTAGCTCGCAGATGACAGCCTACGTTTTARATTGTTACTGTTAGTACTGTTGGTAGTGTTAGCTATATAAACATTTCAGTCATGGTGTGTCGCGGTTCTTCAATACCTATTAATATTATATTTTTTTCTTTGTTGTCATTGGAGCAAAAATTTGCAATTAAAAATGAAGGTAGGCCAAAACCAAATTTAATTATTGTCAAAGAATCAAAAGGTAATGATAGAACATTTAAGAGAAATTTTAACATCGAAACGTATGACAAAAACGATTGGATATGTGGTTGTGGCATAACTAATAAGCTGTTTTGTTTTCCTTGTGTAATTTTTAGTCGGTTCAATGAAATAAGTTGGAGTAAATTAGGTATTGATGATTAAAGTCATTTATCAGCGAAAATAAAATCCCACGAAAAAACCCAAACTCACATAAATGCTTAGTTAAGTTTAAAGTTGTTAGAAAAACAGGATATTCGTCAACAGTTAAATAGCGCATTTCGTTTAAATATTCAAAAGTTTAACGAGCAAGTAAGATAAAATCAATACATTTTGTCTAAAATTATTGATTGCATACGATTATGTGGTGCGTTTTAACTTGCTTTATGTGGTCATGACGAATCAGCTGATTCATTAAATCCGGGAGTATTTAAAGGTCTTATCAATTTTACTGCAAAATTATATTATGCACTTAAAACTCATTTGGAAAAAGCTACTGTCTTTAAGTGTATTTCAAAAAAAATTCAAAATGAAATTTTAAAATTCTTTTCAAATGTCTATTTGTTTCGATATCTTCTTACAGATGGATCACCTGTTGAACGATTTTGGGGCTTCTTTAATCCAACTGGTCACGATGCTAAATGATTGTCTGAATGTATTAAATCTACCCTTCAAGATGTCTTAAACGATAAAAATAAATAAATTACAMAAAGTTATGATGGTGCTAATGTCATGATTGAACATATATCCGAGGTTCAAACTTTTATAAAATCCGATAATCCAAATGCACATTACGTCCACTGTTACGCCCATCAATTAAATCTAATATTATGAAAGCTGCTTCTTGTAAAAGTATAGAGACGCGTATATTTTTTTCTAATCTAACGCTCATAACGAATTTTTTTASCCGTTCTCCTCAAAGAGTTCAAGTTTTAGACGAGATACTGAAAAAAAGGTTGCCTAAAACCGTAGAAACTCGATGGAATTTTAAAAGTAGAGTTGTGAATGCAGTTTACGAAAATAGAGAATTACTTATTGAATGTATGGATAAAATTGAGACTACTTCAAATCAAACTACTACAACTAACCAAGCAGGTGCCCTACGTAGAATGTTGCTAGAATCAACTTTTATTAATTGGTTAAATGTTTTCATCGTATCATGCCTCACTTAGATATTATAATATATAACCAACTGCAAAAAATAAGTACGAGCAGGTAGAAATAAATAATGCAATACATAATTTTGAAATTAATATTCAGAAAGAAAGGGATAATTTAGATAATATACAAGTAGATGAAGGCGAATCTGCCAAAAGAAGACGAAAAAATATTTATTTAACTAGAAATATTATAGCTAAAGAAGTGTGTGACACAATTATTGTGAGCGTTGACGAGCTGTATAAGTACAAAGGACATCTAATTGCAGCCATTTTATTTATGTTAGACAATTTTGAAAATTATGAAAAGAACTTTCCACAACTTAACCTCAAACAAACTGTAGAAGCATACCCATTTATAGATAAATTTAAATTAAAAACTGAGCTACAGGTTATCTATAAACGAAATGATTTTAAAGACATTTCAACAGTTGTCTATTTACTTAAATTTATCATAGAAAATCAATAACTCGAAACATTTTCTGAAACTTCCAAACTTTTAAAAATTATTATAATTGTACCTATGATTTCCGCTGAAGCTGAGCGTTCATTTTCAACCCGGATGAGAGTAAAAACTTTTTTTCATAGTACCTACCATGCCAGAAGATCGACTATCGGCACTATCGGCACTGTCAATATTATGTATTGAAAAACTTATGATCAAAAATATTCCTAATTTTAATGAAAAGGTCATTGGAGTGTTTGCTAAGAAAAAAAGAAAGAAGAATAGAATTAATTTATAAAAATGTATCTTACTAATATAATAATTATGTTCTATTTTTATCCACTGTTAAATTAAAATACCTACTATAATAGTATAATACTATAGAAATATGAATATTTCAAACAAATATGTATCATGTAATGAATATGTTACCGGCAATATGTGTAATTCTGTCATTACATAAAATGCCTAGGTATTTTATAAAATACCGGTTGACTTTATGCAAATTATTTAAAAAAATGATTTTAGTATAAAATGCCTAGGCAATATATATATTTCCTAGACATTTTATAGAGTATCTAAATAACTTTTGGCAAAGTATTAAAATAGTTGAGATTAATTTCATAACAGTATACTGTATTAACATTATAACATTTTAAATTATGATAATATTGTGTACTATTTGTTACAACATGTTAAGCTAGAATGAAAACGGGATTTACACAATATTTCGTTTTTAACACACAAATATATTTTACTTTAGCACCTTGTCTTACATGTACATTTTGTAAGCCCCTGCCCACTGCCTGTTGACACTGCGACATGTGGCATGACCTGTGAATTGTAAAACACTAGGGGCTCTAATTGGTAAGGGGTCATGTGTTCGAAAGTCATGTGTTCGAATGCTGTATGTTCGAACGTTAAGTGTAYGAAAAATTGTCTGTTCGAAAGATTATATGTTCGAAAAGTCGTATGTTCGAAATTATCGATAAATGAAACACGAATTTTACCAAAATATTTATAATTCGTTAATTCGATTTTCAGCGTWAAAAATTAAATTTAAAAATAGGTATCAAAAAGTCGTAAAATAAATTAGTCGTTAATAAATGTAAATGCTAAATAAAAAAAATAAGTAATATATAAATATGATCTAAACTTTTAACATTCTTAACATTTCTGTACTTTTTTCACACATTAAGTCAATTGTTTGATCCGGTGTAATGTCTGCCAACAATTCCCTTTCACAGTTCATCAAAAACAATGATTCATAATTTTGTGACCAACTAGTTCCGAAAGTTTAACATGGGCCCCATTGTATTTTCCAGACATATTACTAGCAAAATCGTAGGATTGAAAGGATATTAATCCAGGATTTAATAAGTTACTTTCTAAAATGTTGATTATTTGTGGTGCTGTACCCAAACCAGTTTTATCTGTTCCTTTTTCCATCTCCAAAAGTCGCTCAACAGCTTTACTTTGACTATTTACATAACGTACACATATTGCTAAACGATCTTGATGTGATATATCAGGTGTTGTATCAGCAGACACTGAATAAATGTTTGCTTCTTTTATCTCTTTTGCTATTATGTTACGTGTTTTTTTAGCTAGTAATTCAATAAATTCCTTTTGAGATGTCGGACCTAAATAAGTAACTTTATACGACCGTGATGAAGACTTCTCAATCCAGCGTTTCATTAATGGATTATGCCTAGACAGAAGTTGCATAAAATGTCCTCCACTTTCGTCACCATCACCTCGAAATCCTAATCCTTGTCGTGATAATGTGCGTGCAATATCAAATAAAATAATTATAATTTGCTTGTTAAACTCTTTTTCTTGTTCCAACTTAATTGCTTCTTTTCTATTAGATTTTTTTAAAATTATATCAATGTGATTATCAGTAGTCATAAATTGATAATAATAATTTAATGCTGCTTTATGAGCAATACAATTAAAATGTTGTTGAAGTTTACTCAACTTTTTAATCCCACAGCTTTTAATCTTATGCCACTGACGAACACCATGTTTCACCCATGCTGAATCTTCATTAGTTCTTCCTGGACCATTAGAAAATAAAGAACATACAAAACAATATACAGAATCAGTCACAATACTGTAATGGATATTCATTATACCACTGGGATTAAAACTATGCTGTTTAATGTTGTTTATGTATTAATTGGGTACTTAGTTAATTTTGGCTGATGAGGTCTTAAAGCAATAAGGAACCACGACTACCAGGATCATGGTTTATAATATTATCAATAATATTATTAACTGGTTTTGAACTTTTAGATGCTTTTGAGAATTGTTCAGACAAAATATTAGCATTTTTTAAAAATTCTTTAGAATTTGATTTTATTCTACTGATAATTTGAATGATGATAAACATATTCATGCATATAAGTACATTTTTTTTTTTAATTAAAAATTATTATTTTGTTTTAAAAAAACTAAGGCTGACAAATGGCATGGTGTAATTCTATTACGTCTTGGAGATAATATATTACCGGCTGTTGAAAAAACTCTTTCTGATGAAGCAGAAGATGCTGGTATA